CGAATATGCGGTTGATTCATCGAAATGGTGACTCAACTGAAGGGGAAAGTCATCGGCGTCATGGCTTTCAATTCTTGCTTGTGGAAACGTGGTCGTCATGGCATGCATCGCATGGACACCCATGGAAGCAATGCTGATCGTAGGAAATACCTGCATCCAGCCGGCTCATGCAAGAATAATGCAGGCACCCTTTAGTATAATTCTGCAACCAAAGCATGTAAGTCTTTTGTGTCCAACTCACTCTCTGTATGAGTTTCTTTGGCCCTCTCACGGAATCAGCGGGCCCTGTTAGTATTCATCGACAGGGGTAAGGGGTCCCTCCTTTACTGGGAATATCAAGTCATGACAAGCACCAGCAACGGACCAAATTTCCATTATCATGCCCTAATTTCGTCCAGCTGCTGTTAGTGAGCCCTTGGTGCTTTGAAAAGGAGGACTGAGACAGGGCATCAAACTTGAATTTCGGGAATATTGTTGTGTGCCTAATTTGACACGTACCTGCGTGATCCAAACTCTTTGTTCGTAAGTGTGTAGGGCTAGAAGCATCAGAGAGGCACGCTCCCGGCGAACCCAAAGCCACCCGTGTTCCAGCTGTGGCATCCCATGCGTATCGCGATGGGGGTGTGTTTCTAAAATCGTATCCAAGGCGTGGGCACACCTGCGACTGTTCCCATGGTACTGTTTTTGAGATATTGCTCATACGGTCCTCTCTTTGGCTTGGCCATTTGTGCAATCGCTTCATATCAAGACTCGTCTCCCTTGTGACCACGCGGGCGCCTGGTACTGGCGTTATTTGTGAATAACCAACCCTAATCATCAATTCCAAAGATACGACACTACCATCGAGTTTACCGGCTTGACCGAAGTACTCATGTATTCACTTGAAAGCCATATCCCACCCACCATGTCTGCATTTGCATGTTGTTCCTTGGCCAATCCCACGTAATCATAGCCATTCTCGGAGCCTTCGTATTGATGTCGATGGCTGTGTCCAAGTTCGTACATAGATGCATTCGCGTACTTTCTCCATTTGCAAATCAAGGCAATTTGTTGTGTCGGATGTACTGGAATTCGAGTACTAACACATCATCTAAGGAAGCCATCCTTGATGTGTTACTGTCACGTTGCCAAGGTCCTTCTCTGTGATTGGACTCACGATGCCGTCAGTGTTACCGACTCAGGTTCGTCACCTTTCTAGATACCGGTATCGTCGTCCAACAGCGAGTCTGCTGCACATGGTGGAGGCACCGACCAGCCGATGGATCATGGCGACAAAGCCTCCCCCTCCTGAAGTTTCATCAAACCAAGGAAAATCATCCTTGGGCGCCAGTGTGACCCGTCATCCATTGATAAAACCCCACGTTGGACAACGCTGCGCCGTGGTCACCTCATAAAAAAGCCTCTTCCCCGCGCATCGATAGGGAAGAACGGAAGGGATGCGGACTCAATCTATCAATCCCATTGCCCCGCGCTCTTGAAGCCCGAGGCTACGATATCGCGTCGTGCGGGGGCCGGTGGCTCCTGTGCCGTTGGCGATCCCGTTCTATCCCGCTCCGATGACCTCCACATTGAGTGACCCCGTCCATTCGTTCCCAACCAGGTGGTTGACGCACAAAGCTTCCCTGTCTCGCCTGCCTATTACCGAGTTCAACAGGCTCGTCACTGCCATGCTTACACCACTGTGACTCTTTGGGACATGGTTACAGCTGCAGCTGAGCCAACCCCGCCGCCGCCAAGTACATCTCAACTGAGGGGTGGTTTGACATATATGCCGCCGCCATGTTTCGAGGCCATCGTTGACGATACCCAAATCACATCATTCAGATCGTACGTGTGCATGATCCACCAGCTGATAGGCTCCAAGTCGGATTTGAACCTCACAACTTCACAAGTCTAGCGACCCACATATGAGACAATGGGGGTGCAGGTAGGCTCGTAATGTCGTCAACTTCCAAGGTTGGCAGCTCAACCCCAGATATCTCCAAAGATTGCCCAAGTCCTGAATTGTGAGTGTGGCATCAACTAAGGGCTTACATGCCCTGAATACTGGGGGTCCGAACCTCACGAACCAAAGACAAACTCGCGGCATGCCTAATTGATTAGGTCAGTGACACGATGGACCGAGTTTGTGCAGCACATGGGACATACCGTTCGTAGGACACTTAGTTTCTGTTGGGACTGCTCGAATACTTGCTTGTACTGAGCGAGGCTTTCCCGTAAGACGACTTCCTTGTTCGTACGACCTTCGCAGATAGCCTTCATCTTGATTTCCATCTCCTTCCGGAGAAATGGCTTACCAAGGCTGGTTTCGAAGTTCATTCGATCAAAGCCTAGGATTAGAGCCACTCCAAGTTGCGTGGGGACGAAGACCTTCAAGCCGCCTCGGCCACCTGATGATGATGAACCACCGCGTCCACCTCTGGCACCTCGACCGCCACGTCCACGACCACGACCTCTTGTGGACGTACTTGTGTCCGCATCCTCATCATCTGCCGACGTTTGACCTGATCGGCTGATCGTAGCGACATATTCCCTGTCCTGGATCTTCTGGATATGCTCGGCCATGGTAGCATCTGTGCCGATCCCGTTGGCATCCATGAGAGCGATCAAATCGGCTTCTGTCAGGTAACCAGGCGCTGTCGTCTTCCCTTCTGTCATCATAGCCTCCGTTGGCTGAAAGCGCTCACCTTCTGTGAACTTCGGAAGTTCCACTGTATTATTCCATTTTTCGTAAATGAACACGTCAAGGTAGTTTCTCTCTAGCACAATGACCCCATGAGCATTGAAACGCTCCTCTCCAAATTCAAGCTCAACATCAGTTGCCATACCGTGGGCATCATCTGAGCAACATGCAAGAAATCTGCGCGCAACATACTCATATAAGCGAGCCTCGTCGCGACCCAAGACGGAAGGCGAAGCATATGTGATAGGGTGAATAGGAGGATGTGCTCTATCGTCATGTCTTCCCTCCCTTGGTTGTTTAAAAGCACCACTGGCAAGACTTTGTGCAAATGGGCCCCATCTCTGATCGCTGGTTTGCTTCTCAACCAGAGCACGGAGATTCATCCCTTTATCGAACCGGTCTGTCTCAGTTCGGGGGTAACTGATGAACCCCTTGTTATATAGACCTTCAGCAATGGTCATGGCCTGCTGTCCGCTCATATGGAGTAGCCTCGTCGCAGCCTTTTGTAATTCAACTGTTGTCAGAGGCAACGGTTTGAACTTTCGAGTTGGTTTCTGCTGAACTTTGGTCACTGTTGCTGTTTTTGCTGCGAGGCATCTCTCATAGAGAATCACTGTGGACATTCGATCGAACAGCCTATTCCGTAGCCAAAAGAAATCGACCTTTTTACCGTCTCGGGTGTGCATGAGTTTTATGCTCCAGAACGGCTCAGGAACGAAGTTTTTCACACGAAAATAACGATCCACGACAAACCCAAGGGTTGGAAACTGGCAAGACCCTGAAAAATCAGCAAGATGTCAAGAAGGTGATAACCAAGGTACAAACCATAACTCAGAGTCAGCTTCTCCAGAGGTCCTCCGAGAGGCCGTAAGTTGTTTGTGAGAAAACGGGTGAATGCATAACCAATACGAAGATCCAGCTCGATTCTTGCAGATACAGCATGGACCTGCCTCTCATCCAAAGTCGCAAGGTTCTTGGCTGCTGAGATAACATGACTGTTATTGTTAGTAGGTACACCGTTGAATAAGAGGACATGACGACGCACGCTCGCTCGACATTACTGAACCTTGCTCGTAAAACCTGGATACCAGGTTTACCCTTTCGAGCGGCTTCGACAATTTCATTGCCGATGTGTTCTCCTTCACGATCACAATCTGTCCAGATTACTAGAGCTTGGGCATATCTTGCTTGCGATTCTAAATTCTGGGCAATTGTCTTCTTGTCCTTTGAAAGATTAATACTGATTGCTTCCGGATCAGGATAGGAACTCTTACTTCGCTGATAGTTGTGACAATGGGGGCGGTGAATAATGACTCTGGAGGTGGTTGATACCAGTTTTTGTGAGCTGGAGTAAAGTCGACGTTTGTTAAGTGTCCAGTGACACATGTCATGGTAACAGAGCAATTGCCCAATTGACGACCAAAGTCAAAATCGAATGAGTAGTTCTTGATGTACTTGTTCCTTGTATTGTTCTATCAATTCGTTAGCAAGGTGTTCTTTATTGTTGCGTGTTGAGTGGTTTCTACCGTTTCAATACGGCCTCCAGAGAGATGTGTAGCCACAGCTTTGGATATAGAGGGCTTCTCAGCCACACAAAGGACTCTCATCTTGGAGGAACACAAGCCTTTGCGACTGTTTTATATCTCTGATGCAATTCTCCCAGCAGCCGTGGTGATTAAGGTACAAAATGCGAGTGGGGAGTTGCCTCAGGCTGCCCGGGAGTGCAGGCGAAGTTTTGCGTTGAGGCAAGCACGATCGATGTGCATAACAAACACGGTCAAACTACCTAGGCGCGTTCGTAGCAAAAATTGTTTGCTGCCATAGTCTCTCAACAATAAGATTTCAGCAGCTATTGGAATTGTTTGCCAGTCACCATGATAAACTGTTTGCTGAAGCACCTGTAGCCTCGATATTTACGCCAACCCTCTGAGGCTCATTTCTGATATTCACGGACGGTGAGGAGGGAAACTTGAGGCAAGGCCAAGGCTTGACGTTGAAAATTAAGTTCTCCGGGATTAAGCCTCTTCAGTGGCTTACAGGCGAATAGCCACTAGCCACAGCGGCTGAATCCGTTTAATCTAGGGGAGTGTCACCTAAAAGCTTAGTGGTCCCACAGACAAGGCGGGAACCAGGCAACAGACGGGAGGTGTCCTTCCATGCTCTGGTCTAAAGTGGTTTCCACCTGGAATTGACATCTATGACGCTATTGAAGCTGGGCATCGCTATACGCAGGTAGCCATTAAACCGGTTGTGCTGCACTCATATCGAAGACCCCAAAATCCGTGATCAACCATTGTCTCGTCAAAGATCAAGCATCATGTCTCTGCCATTCGTCAAGTCCATCGAGGACTGCGGCGAGTACGCCAAAACAGTCCAACCCTACATTCCGCAGCTCTATGCTCTTCCTCGACAGATTCTTGACAACATTGCCAGTCCTGATGGGCTGAGGCAGATTTATGTTGATACAAACCCTCTCATCTCAGGCTTTGCCATTTCTATTGCTCTTGGATTTGTCTTCCTCGTCGTCTCCGAGATCAACAGAAACTACTCTCAAGTTGATCGAATGTGGTCGATTCTCCCAAACTTATACGTCGTCCACCTCTCAGTCTGGGCGCGGCTGGCTGGTATTACCTCTTCGCGAGTTGACCTTGTTGCTGCTGCTACAACCCTTTGGAGTGTATGTGTCCCTACATCTCATTCGTTCAGTCATCGCTAATGCTGTGTAACAGTGCCGCTTGACATATAATTACTGGCGTAAGGGGGGTTACAATAAAGGATCTGAAGATTATCGATGGTAAGTTGATCGTCCACTCATAACTCTTCAGTCAGCTCATATCATGCAGGGCCATTCTCCAGCAATATGTGCCCCGATTTGTCTGGTTCCTCTTCAACATCACCTTCATTTCTTTTTACCAGAGCGTTCTGCTCTTCAGCTTCTCGTGCGTGCCTGCGTATGCCATTCTCTGTTCTACCAAGTTTGAGCAAGATGTGACCTCTGCCGATACTGTCTTTGCTCTCATCATGGTCGGCCTAGTCTACAGCGAGTGGGTTAGCGATGGTCAGCAGTGGGGTGAGTATTTCGTGTGCTTTGATGTTTAGCAGCCTAACCATTTTATAGACTACCACGCGGCCAAGCATCAGTACCAGTCCGAGGCCAAGGTCCCCAAGAAGTTCAGGTACTCCCAAGCGGAGCTTGACCGTGGCTTCAACACTTCTGGTCTCTGGGCTTACAGCAGACATCCCAACTTTGCTGCAGAGCAAATGATTTGGTTTGTGCTGTACCAGTGGAGTTGCTTCGCAACCAAGAATATTTACAGCTACACTTTCGCCGGCGCTGCCGCCTTGATCCTCCTCTTCCAGGGTTCAACTTGGCTCACTGAGCTCATCACGGCTGGCAAGTATACTGAGTATCCCATGTACCAGAAACAGGTTGGCATGTTTTTGCCCAAGTCCCTTACCCCCTACACGACTCCTGGCCCAAAGGTCATTCGGACCAGCGATATTGCTAAAAGGATGGAGAGCAAGAAGCAAGCTTAAGTTTGCACCTAAACACATTGCCTATTATCCTTTAGTCAAGAGCACTGACTGCTGGGTTTTGGTCAGCATGAGGCAGTGTCTAATTTCATCATAGTCTAGATGGAGGAAGGAGTCGGTTGCATAGTTAGTCTATAATCTATATCATGACATGGTCTATTGTCTATTGCTTCTCTGCCAGTCTAAGATCACTGAACTTGTCAGCATAATGAGAGGGCACAGCAATGGCATCGGCCTTCTCCCAGTCTTCCTTCTTGTTCACACCAGTCAGGACATGTAGTGTTCCACCAAGTCGTCCCTCGATACCAAACTTGATATCAGTGTTAAGTCGGTCACCGACCATGCAAGTTCGAGAACGATCGAGCTGGAACTTTCCCTCAACAGCGTCCATCATAGCTTGACTAGGCTTACCAAGAGCCAAGGGCTGCTTTCCTGTGGCGTGAACAACAGGGATGTGACAAGATCCAGCTCCGAGGAAGAAGTCGTGGTGCATCGGCAATGTTGAATCAACGTTGGTAGCAAGGAAGATAGCTCCTCGCTTGATGTAGTGCATGGCGTGGGCATACTTAAGGTAGTTCACGTGGTAATCAAGACCGCAGAGAACTACTCCGACCTCGGGGTCAAGTAGCGAACCATCAGCGATACCCTTGAAGTCGTCATTTGTGATATCTCGTCGGAACGCCTCATCTGTGCCTCCAATATGAGGAACACCTTCAGAGTCAAGCTCATGCTCAATCCCAGCCTCTCCGATAATGAAGACCTTGCGCTTGTTCTCGGGTAGCTTCAAGATGCGTGAGATGTAGATCGCAGCAGAGTAGCTTGAACCGAACACATCATCCTTCTCACTAGGGATACCAAGATTGGTGAGTTTCTTCAGGTATTCATCGCGAGACTTTGTTGAGTTGTTCGTCACGAAAACGGTTCTCTTTCCTGTGCCTATGTAAGCCTCGTTTCAGATCGTGAGGATAGTAAGCCAACCCTTTGATCTTAGATATTTGATGGTCTCAGGGACTCCCTCGTACACATGATCGCCAGACCATAGGACACCTGAACGAGTCAGTTTGTTTTTCAGCTAAGAATCATGGCTATGTACCATCGCAATCAAGCAGGAAGACCTATTCATCAGAGTCAGTTGAGGCTTGAGAGGTACACGAATAAATGACTCACGTCGAATTTGTCGATGAACTCGCTAACTGCAGCAGCATCTCCGCTGATGTACTTTGGTGACGATGCCATATCGTATGTGAAATGGCCAAACGAGAAGAACGATTAAATGATCGACAATAGGTTCAGTTGGTTGATTCAAGATCGGTCATCAGTCATTATCAACACTGACTCGGCCGATTGCTTAGTCATATCCACTTAGTCGTGGAGTTTCTTGTGATGTAATTCCTCTAGGCGTGGAAAGCGTGCGGGTCTACTAATAAAGAAGGTTATCACGGTCGATCATGACGATAGTTCCATTATCTGAACTTGGTTAATCTCTGGGGTCTTTTAAGTCAATTAATGTTGAGTAACTGGTATAGGGTAGATTATCATAGAAAGACACAATCATTGTAGTCTGCATTCTTTACATTTCCGACCTCACTTTCCTTTCGAAACACCAAAACCGATTGATTGATTGATTGGTTCAAAGCTACCAAAAGCCGTGAGCCTGTTCCGTGTGGCGACCGAATCTCCAAAATCGAAATCTTTCCAGCAACCATTTCAGTGACCAGATGGCAGAACCGATCTATTATTGGTTTGTCAACTCCGCCCTGAGTAATGGACCACCCTATTCGTCATCGGTGGGTTTTCTAGAATTCCACGTTTTTTAACAGAGACTTTTTTTTTCTGGCCTGGAGATAACGGGCTACATCCGTCTTCGGTCTACCTTGCCTTGTGATTTTTTCCCTTCCCTCGCTTGCTCCGAAGCGGCGAGATTAGAGTCTCCTTACTCGTCAGCTGGACTTACAGACCGACAAACGTAACCGAATCCGTGGAATACAACATCCATTCACCGCTCTGCCCTGGCCTGGTTGCCTCCGTATCAGAGAGTGGCGCCCGTGGACCCTGAAGCTAGGAGACTCTAAGGGTCCCACACCATTTCTGATCGACGACAGGAGTTTCCACCTGGTTCAGAAAGAGAAAGAATTGATAACAGACCCAGAGATGGATACCTACGTAATTATAAAAATCTACAAGACCGTGTCGAGCTGCCTTTATCTTGACTCTTGATTTAAAACTTTTCATCATCTCGTACAATCTGTGCTGTTATTTTGAGCAAACAAACGTAAAGCATCCTCCAAAACCAGTCACAAGACCTCGTCACGATATCACAGCTATCAGGATATCCATCCCCTGAAAACCTATATAAAGACTGTCTCTCACATACATCTTCTTGACCGTACTCATCACACAAGAATCATTAACACTCTGAGACCCAAACCAATTCACATCTCACTCAAACATCTGACAAAATGAATCCCACCGCGCCAACAACCGCAGCCCCTACATCGGGCAACGCCAACAGCTACTTTAGCATTCACAAGACACAATCCACAGAGACAACCCCTGTGTCAACCCCTGGGTTCAAGAGTGAGGAGTTCGACCAAGCTGGACACAAGCTTCCTGCCCTCAATCGCGAGTTCCCCAAGCCTACAGAGGAACTCGACATCCAAAGCATGCTTGATCGTCAACCTGGCCGATGGACCACCAAGGGACAAATCGAGGCCAACCACCGCCGAGCGCAACATGCTCGCAACGAGGAAGAGATCAAGGCTCAGCGTATGCGAGACTTTGAGAAAGCCAAGGAAGAACTCCGTTCTTCATGGCGGTTCTAAGCTACCTGCCCCAAACTTCACCCATGGAGGACTTTAAGGCTGTATCGGCTTACACGTTATGAAAAACCAACTGGCGCATTGCCTTCAGGGCTATACCAAGAGTTCAACGATTTATGACACTACGAATAGACATTAGAGATCGGGATTGTACGATTGACAATACAGGATAGATAGATTAGACGGAGGAGAACATTTGCATTTCTAGCAATTTAGAGTTTTAATACGAATTCATTTTTGAATAGTGCATTGTTCAAGCAAGGTCTGCAACGGACAGAACACGACCACCAAGAGTGAAACCGTAACCAACAGCAGCTGCAAAAGTGATGAGGTTGAACAACGATGAGATACCGTGAAGCATGCCAAACTTCTTGTTCAGGGCCTTCATTTGATCACTTTGAGGTCCCTCAGCATACCATTCCTTGCCATCTCGCTTGACTATAGATTATTAGTAGTGTCTCAAATTGACCCCTTGAAGATTGACGCACCTTGGCCTCGTCGCTGCTTCATAACTTCGACCGTCAAAGGCAGGAAGACAAGGAGGTTCACAGCTCCAGTAAAGGCCATTACACTGATAGGTAGCAGGGAGTGCCAGCGGGCAAATTCCGAAACCAAGCCAGCAGGGCCATTTGACAGACCAATCAATGTGTTTCCGGGATATGTTAGAGCTAGAACACCGGGCAAGACAGTCTGGAGGCCGAAGTAGATGGGGAAGAGCTTCTGTTGGATGGCAGAGAAGCTAGGACGGTCGACCGTCCTGAACATAACGATACCATTGATGAAGGTCTACCCGGCTGTTAGAATTGCAGCGTTTGTAACTCTGCGAGATACGTACATGGAAGAAAGTCGTTCCAAGTAGAGTTCCATAGCTGCCGTGGGGTTAGCGATGCTTTCCCTGACTGCGATTGACTTCATAAGCTCATAGAAACCTACGTTATAATATGGTAAGGAGCCGGCGAGAAGGCCACTGCCTTTGCTGTGCTTGCCATTGTTGCAATTCTTCACTTGTGAGTGTTTGATGAATTGTATCAGATCCAACTTGCCGAGGCACTGAGGTGTTTCGATAGTCATGATATCACATCTGGTCACGTGATCGTACAAGCTCCATATTGCGTTGCAGTTTCCGTGATGAAATGATCTTCATGATTCAAGATATGCATATAGTCTGGAGTTTTCTTTTTCAATCACCTGGTACCTGCTCCTCTCTTGGATTTCTGGTGGCTTAATAGACTCATCCAATAAATGGAGTTTTGTCAGGCATCAGTTGCACGTGATCTCGCGCGTCTTGTCGTGAGAAGGTCGGCAGGAGCTTTGACCCGTCAGACGCGATGGGTCACCAACCTTTAGTATATCTTGGGGTGGTTCTGCCTAACGATTACAAGGATTCATTGTGAGACGTTTCTTTTTGTTGCCATTCATTTAAAAGCGCGACTGACCTTATGAAGTACCTCTGGCTCTTTTCGAATCCCTTTCATCATAGCGAGATTTGATTGACTTTAGATTCTTGAACCCCGTCTTTCGTCTTCTGACTTTCTTACCGTATTACCGGGTTTCATACAAGCCATCTCCACCATGGCTGAGAAGGAAGCGACCGTTTTCATATTGGACCTTGGGTCAACTATGGCCCAAATTCACAGTGGAAGATCAGAGTCTGATCTGGAATACAGTATGCAATACGTATGGGACAAAATCATAGACATCGTGGCAGCAAACAGGAAAACGCTATGCGTTGGCGTATTGGGTCTGAGAACAGATGAGACTGACAACAAGCTCCAAGACGATGATGGGTATGAGAATATTGCAGTGTTGCAGGAGCTGGGACCGATGACAATGTCATCTTTGAGGAATCTCCAATCGCTTGTCAAGCCGAGCAATACATGGTCTGGAGATGCTGTTTCAGCCATCGTGTTGGCTGTTGATATGATTGACACATTCACAAAGAAGCTCAAGTGGAACAGAAAAATCTTCTTGGTCACGGACGGCCAGGGTCCAATGGATGCGGATGACTTGGGTGACATTTCTAAGAAGATGAATGATTCAAACATCCAGCTCACTGTCCTGTAAGTGGAATGGATATCTCAACGACACTTTTAACATGATACAGGGGAGTAGACTTTGATGACCCGGAATATGGCTTTAAGGAAGAGGATAAGCCGAGCACAAAGGTTCGTATGATGGGACACA